ATAAATGAGAAGACTGAGTCTGACACATACACACTTCTATATATGAAACATAATTAACAAGGGCCTCCTGTAGAGCACAGGACTCTACTCAGTATTCTGTGATAACCTACGCAGGAAAAGAACCTGACAAAGAATGGAGACACACACACACTACGTCACTCTGCTGTACACCGGAAACGAACACTGTAAGTCAACTACACTCCAATAAAAACTTCTAAAATTTAAAAATAAAGAGGACTTCCCTCGTGATGCAGTGGAGAAGAATCCTGCTGCTAATGCAGGGACCACAGGTTTGATCCCTGATCCAGGAAGATCCCACATACCACGGAGCAGCTAAGTCCATGCTCACAGTGACTGAGCCTGTGCTCTGGAGTCCGGCAGCTGCAGCTACTGAGCCCACATGCCACAACCACTGAAGTCCGCGTGCTCCAGAGCCAGCGCTCTCCAACAAGAGGAACTAACGCGATGAGAAGCCTGTGCACCGCAACCAGAGTCACCTCCACTTGCCACAGCTAGAGAAAAGCCCGGGCAGTGCTGAAGACCCAGCACAGCCAAAAATAAATTTTAAAAATAAAGTGGCCAAAAAACTGGAAAGAACCCAAAATGTCCAACTGGTTAACAGATGAACAAACTGTGGTCTATCCATACAAGGAAATACTACTCAGAAATAAAAAAGGACAAATTATTGGTATACAAAATATACAAAAAGCATTGTACCCTGTGAAATAAGTCAGAAACGAAAGGTTATGTACTGTATAATCCCATTTACATGAAATCCTGAAAAGTAATAAAAAGCAGACAAGTAATTGCCAAGGGTGAGGATTATAGGGAGAGATCAGACTGCAAAAAGGCATCGGAGAACTTCCTGGAGTTATGAAAACAAGTCTATATTATGATCATGGTAGTGATTATGAAACAAAGCAGGACCTTATGGCCCTTGACCGCCCTCCCCACATATCCTCAGCTTGCTTTTTGTCTGTGGAAAAACTTTAGCCAACAAATAAGCTTAATCAGAGAAGTGAGAAAATGTAGAAACAAAGGAAAACAGTCCAACAATACTAAATAACAACAGCTGTAATAACAATAGAATAACAATAATGATATGCCAAATATCATACTTAGCATGTACAACATGTAATATAACTACATAAGACAGTTGTATAATTGTTATCCAAAACAGGTGTCCAGCTACTTGCATCTCAAAATCTAGTAAGGAGGCAATGCTGGTGGAAAGGAAAGTTTGCGTTATTTTGGAGACTGGCTCCCAGGGAGAGAAGGTACTGCTGTCTGTCCAAAGGCTGACTCCCCTGACTGAGAGTTGGTGGGCAAGAGCTTTTATAGACAGAGGGAGGGGGCTTCATGCAGATAACAGTACAGTCAGCTCTGACAGTTATCTTGAAATTGGTCATTGGTGGTCTGATCAGCATCATCTTGACTGTTTTAAGTACGACCCTTTGCGACCCTACACAACCCTGTGGATTGTAGCCCATCAGGCTGCTCTGTCCAAGGGATTCTCCAGGCAAGAATACTGGAGTGGGTTGCCATTCACTTCTCCAGGGGAGCTTCCCCACCCAAAACCCAACCCTTGTCTCTTAACATCTACAGGCAGGCAGGTTCTTTACCACTAGCAGCACACATTCGTTACAACGTATACATTTATATACTTAAACTGGTGACTATTTCACTTAAAACATTTGTCAAAAATCATGAATTTGTAAACTTAAAACTGGTAAACTTGAAGTATATAAACTACACCTCAAAAGAGCCTATTTAAGAAAAGATGCTTCAGGGAGTTCTCTAGCGGTCTAGTCGTCAGATTTGGTGCTTTCACTGCCCTGGCCTGGATTCAGTCCCTGGTCAGGGAACTGAAATCCTACAAGCTGCGTGGCATAGTCAAAAAAAGAGAATATTTCAAAAAGAATAAGAGAAAAACTGTGAGTAGGAGACAATCAGACAATATTAATTAATTATCATTATCACACTACTACTGTACATATACTGTATGCCAGGTGTTTGATTATATTTTATCTCAAAACCACCAAGCAAATTAGGCATTATTATTTCTATTTTCTTCAACAGATAACAAGATTGAATAACTAGCTAGTAAGTAGCAGAGACAAGATGATTTAAGTCAGTCCAGCCTCTTTACCACAGTTAATCTCTCAGAAAAGGTTCTACTTTATTGGAGTTCAAAAAGCACAGAACTGAGTATAATATAAGGTAGGGTTATTCATATAGGGAGAGTTTAACAGTGTTCATCTACGGGGAATATAGCATTAGTAGGTATAAAAAAGATTTTTATTTTATACTTTTAATACTTCTGAATTGTTTTAAAATATTTTAAAAACAAGCATTTTATACCTTTCAATAACTTATTTAAAAAGATGTTATATAACCCCAAGTAGTAAATTCATAATGGGTCCCATTCTTTTCACTGTTTTAACTTTAAAACTGTGAAATATTTAGTAAAATATCCTTGTATATCCCACCTGATATTTAAGAAATGTTCTCTAACATCTAGAAACCAACACTTGAAAATGGCTCCCATTAATCCAAACTCTCTCTCTCTCTCTCTCTCTCTCTATATATATATATATATACACCAAATAAATATTTGTTAAGTATCAGTAATCACACATTAAAATTGCGAAAGATGATGCATCACAACAACAATGCTTACAGCTAAAACTTTTCTTTGTACACACAAGCTAGCATCTGGAGTTTTTCTGTTGAACTCTTTATTAGGAGAGATCCTGGGATAATCAACTGCATCTAATTAAAGTCTTCTTAGAACTGAAAGTGCCTAGTAATCCTGAAGGGAGAAGATACACCAGGAGATTAAATTAATTAGCAGTCAAAGCTAATTAGCAGTAATAAGATTACACATAGGTGGGGTACTAGACAGAAAAGTCTGAAGATTACACGTTTGGTTTTAAGACTCCCTAATGGTCTTCTTGCCTTCATTCAGTCTTTCCTCTTCAAATTACAAATCAACACAGAACTTTTGTAACTTCAGCAACTTGGTTATGAACAAAAGATCCCAAGAAAACTGCAGCAATATCAAACATGCAGGAAACAAGTACTGAAAGTCATTATAAAAAAATTTTAAGGTGGGGCTTGAACTAAAATATCTCAATGATGGGAAAGAAATAAAAGATAAACATGAGCAATGGTATGAATCATAGAAAGAAATCTTAGAATACAGCAGTGACTGAGATATAGGGCTATATAAAAGGCTTGCTAACTTGTTTTCCTATAATATAAGTTACAAAAAGGGAAAAACATAGACTGCATGTATAAACTAAGTGGGTACTGAATAAGAAAGAAAAAACAAGGAAGGGGACATAAAATAGGTGAAGGAATTGAAAGACACTTTGGAGAAGACTCTTGAGAGTCCCTTGGACTGCAAGGAGATCCAACCAGTCCATCCTAAAGATCAGTCCTGGGTGTTCATTGGAAGGACTGATGCTGAAGCTGAAACTCCAGTACTTTGGCCACCTCATGCGAAGAGTTGAGTCACTGGAAAAGACCCTGATGCTGGGAGCGATTAGGGGCAAGAGGAGAAGGGGACGACAGAGGATGAGATGGCTGGATGGCATCACTGACTCAATGGGCATGAGTTTGAGTAAACTCCGGGAGTTGGTGATGGAGAGGCAGGCCTGGCATGCTGCGATTCATGGGGTCGCGAAGAGTTAGACACGACTGAACGACTGAACTGAACTGATGGTAGCTAAGAGATAAATGGATAAAGAAGATGTAATATATTTCTTTGCTACACACAGCAGCTTGTGGGATCTCAGTTCTCAATCAGGGACTGAATCCATGTCCTCGGCAGTGAAAGCATGGAGTCCTAACCACTGGACCACCAGGAAATTTCCAGTATTACGTTTAGTTAAATAAGTCAGACAGAGAAAGACAAATACACCATGTTATCACCTGTATGTGGAATCTAAAAAATAAAACAAATGTATATAACAAAACGGGCTTCCCAGATGGTGCTAGTGATAAAGAACCCAGCTGCCAATGCAGGAGACATAAGAGATGCAGGTTTGATCCCTGGATCAGGAAGATCCCCTGGAGGAGGGCATGGCAACAAACTCCAATATTCATGCCTGGAGAATCCCCTGGAGGACAGAGGAGCCTGGCAGGCTACAGTCCATGGGGTTGCAAAGAGTTGGACACGACAAGTGACTTAGCATGCACACATATATAACAAAACAGAAACTGACTCACATAGAGAAGAAACTAGTGGTAACCAATGGGGAGAAGGGAGAGACACAAGGTAGGGGTGTGAAATTAAGAAACACAAATTACTATGTATAAAATAAAGAAGCAACAAAGATATACAGCAGAGCCCAGGAAAATATAGCTATTATTTTGTATTAATTTAAAATGGGGTAAAACCTATACAAATACTGAATCACTACTTTGAGGTACGCCTCAAACTAATATAACCTTGTAGGCCAACTATACAATAAATTAAAAACAAATACTGTTTTACCTTAAAATAAAAAAGACACTACAGTGGCAAAAAAAAAAAAACCATAGTTTTTTTTCCTTGGAAACTAATGCAGAAATATCATTTTATTATAGAAAGATTATTAAGGGAGAGAGAGGCTTTTTTGAGTGGAAAAGAAGAGCTGTGCTTTGTTATAATGAATTTAAAACTTTGTACAGATATCTAGTTAGAAATAGTCTAAGGACAACAAATAAAAACAATACTTTAAATGACTATCACAAAATAGAAAAAATTTTAAGAACCCCTGCATGATTCCCTGAAAGCTTTGATTAAACTCTCCCACTAAAACAAAGGAAGAGAAGAAGTACACTTTCATTTCAGCTACACTTTATGTAGATTTAAAAGCACAATTCAGTAGCTGAACATACTGGGTGTTAACTCCTTCAGGCAAAGTACAACCTCAGAAGGCTGTTAACAGAAAGAAAGTTGTGTTATTTCTTTAGTGTTCAGTGAGAGATGAAGAAGAAAAGAAAACACTTACTGTCCACGAGGATACCAACGGTGCTTAGTAGTAAAGAACATTTTACTGAGTTGTTCTATCATGGGTCCTTGCTCTAAATGTTCACTTTTTTCTTCTAATCTGCTTTTCAGTACTAGATCATGTGTTTCTTCATTGTTATGCACTGGATCTGGCCGAGGGATAGGCTACAAAATAAACAGCAGTGAACATCAACATGTAGGAACGTTAGCCAGCACCTGATTGAGTTGACGGTAAAATAATTACCTCCACAGTACCTCAAGGTGGGTAGATAAGTCACCAAAATGGTCTCACTGAGTTGCACTATCCGTTAGCAAACCAGAATTTATTTTTGGCTGCACCAGGCATGGCATGTAGGATCTTAACTAGCTCCTCAGCTCGGGACTGAAGCTGTGCCCTCTGCAGTAGAAGCACAGAGCCCTAACCACTGGACCATCAGGGAAGTCCCCAGAAATATTTTTCTTCTCATATCAAGTTCTGGGTTTCCTTTCCAATAATAAAGTTATTATTTAAATTTATCTTCTCCCAATAGTAAAGTACTTATTACTTTAGTCTCTATTTCTCAAAACTATAAATTGTGCTCATTATACTTTTTAACTTAAAAGTTTATAGTCAGGACTTCCCTGATGGTCTAGTGGTTAAAACTCGATGTTTCCATTGTAATAGACTCGAGTTTGATCCCTGGTCAGGGAGCTGAGATCCCACATATCACATGGCTCAGGCAAAAAAACAAAAAAACAAAAATTACAGTGCCCACAGTCTCTAACATTAAAGTGAGATACAATGGAAAACCTTTAATTGAAAATGACATTTCTTGTATCCAAAAGAAACAGGAAAAATTTTCAATATTTTCATTTTAGGTGAGTGCACTGGCATTAAATGATGCTTTATGATAATTTGAGTAGTTTTTTCCCCCAAAGACGATAATTACTAAAAAAAAAAAAAAAAAAAAAAAAAAATCTCATTTCTTCCCAACACTAGTAAGATAGCATATGCCCATCAGCAACAGTGGCTGACTAAAGCTCTTAAAAATCAGTGCCTTGGAAAGTCAGCTTACCTATATTTTAAATATTTAAGTGATATGACATGTTAACACAAGATTGTAACATTAGTTTTATTAAAAAATATAACATATACAAAATAAAATATATGTATGTTATATATATACATATATAACATATATAAAACATATATATATTTATATGTAACATATATAAAAGACGCTTGCTCCTTGGAAGAAAAGCCATGACCAACCTAGTCAGTATATTGAAAAGCAGAGGCATTACTTTGCTGACAAAGGTCCATCTAGTCAAAGCTATGGTTTTTCCAGCAGTCAGGTATGGATGTGAGAGTTGGACTATAAAGAAAGCTGAGAGCTGAAGAATTGATGCTTTTGAACTGTGGTGTTGGAGAAGACTCTTGAGAGTCCCTTGGACTGAAAGGAGATCCAACCAGTCCATCTTAAAGGAAATCAGTTCTGAATATTCATTGGAAGGACTGATGCTGAAGCTGAAACTCCAATACTGTGGCCACCTGATGCGAAGAACTGACTCATTTGAAAAGACCCTGATGTTGGGAAAGATTGAAGACGGGAGGAGAAGGGGATGACAGAGGATGAGATGGTTGGATCATCTCCGACTCAATGGACCTGAGTTTGAGCAAGCTCAGGAGTTGGTGATGGACAAGGAAGTTTGGCATGCTGCGGTCCATGGGGTCACAAAGAATCAGACACGACTAAGCGAATGAACTGAAAACATATATAAGCTTTACAAATACCTTATATATGTATTACAACACAATGAAAACTTGAATTTACAAATGAAACAATTCAAACACAGACATCTTCTTACATTCATACACTATTAATGACAACTACTACATTCTACCACTGTATTAAATGTTAGAGCATATATTTATAATATATTATTTATTTTTTTATTATTTATTTATTAATTTATTTAGCTTATGTACATGAAAAACTAAAGCCACTTTAAAAGGCAAACTGTAAGTACATGATGGTGGTGCAACTGACTAAGTACTACAGAAATGCAAAATAACAAAGACATTAGTGAAAAATAGAACAGGAGCCAAGTTAGAGCCTTGTCATAGAGTGCAGAATGAGTTCTAGAAGGAATAAAAAACATTACAAGTAAAGCCAAGTAGGTAAAAACACACAATAAATAGGTAATCTTAAAAAAGGGACCCTAAGAAATTAAGATTATAAAAAGCTTTCACAGTTTCAATTTTCGTGGCTCAGTGGTAAAGAATCTGTCTGAAATGCGGGAGATGCAGGTTTGATCCCTGGGTCAAGAAAATCTTCTGGAGAAGGAAATGACAACCAACTCCAGTATTCCTGCCTGGGAAATCCCATGGACAGAGAAGCCTGGCAGGCCACAGTTCATGGGATTGCAAAATGTCAGGCATAACTTAACCACTGAGCACTAAGTACAACAATTTGACATAAGTAGAAATAAGGAACCACTTCCTTAGTGTGGGAGGGAATAAGGAGAAAGTATAATGAGGAGGTTAAGAATTTGGGCTTTGGTCAATAACTACTAACTCTGTGACCTTGGAAAAATTATTGAAGCTCTGAATTTCCTTTCTGTAAAATCTGAGGAGTAATTACCTACTTAATATAGGTTTGATGTGAGAGTTGAGACCATAAAGACATCTAAGAGCCGAAGAATCGATGCTTTCAAACTGTGGTGCTGGAGAAGACTCCTGAGAGTCTCTTGGACTGCAAGGAGATCAAACCAATCAATTCTAAGGGAAATCAACCCTGAATATTCATCAGAAGGACTGATGCTGAAGCTGAAGCTCCAATACTTTGGCCACCTGACTTGAAGAACCAACTCACTGGAAAAGACCCTGATGCTGGGAAAGATTAAAGGCAAAAGGAGAAGGGGGCGGCAGAGGGTGAGATGGGTGAGATGGTTAGACAGCATTACTGACTCAACGGACATGAAACTAAGCAAACTCCAGGAGATAGTGAAGAACAGGGAAGCCTGGCATGCTGCAGTTCACGGGGTTGCAAAGAGTCAGACATGACTGAGTTACTGAACAAGCCACTAATATTTCTTTTAAGGCCTCAAACAGGAAAAAAGTGGTATTAATTTTTTTTTTTTTAAGTGTTCCTTAAACATTTAAAGTAATTTTATAAGATCATCTCTTTAATATATAGAGTGAAATATATGTCTTTGCAAGTTACTATCAGGCTCTGAAGGATACCAGCAAACACTAGATTAGAGCCTATAGTTTTCTCTCCTTTAGGTTATTGTGTTATTATTGTTTTTAGTCACTAAGTCATTCCTGACTTGTTGTGACCCAATGGACTGTAACCTGCCAGGCTCCTCAGTCCATGGGATTCCCCGCAATACTGGAATGAATTACCATTTCCTTCTTCAGAGAGATCTTCCCAAATAGGGATAAAGCTGAGTCTCCTGCTTAGCAGGTGGATTCTTTACCACTGAGCCATCTGAGAAGCCCCTTAGGTTACTATACTTGTTACTAAAGATCAAATGTTTTAAATATTATCAGCTATTTTCAAGTTAATAAATGTTCATTGTCTCTCTTCCTATTCCCAAACAGGCTCAATTCTAATACATCTCATATTCTCTCTGCTTTGTATAATTAAAAACATTTTCTTTCCCAGGCACACAGAAAAAAGACATTAGAATTAACGGCTTCCTCAAAGTCTAAATCAAAAGCCTCTACAGACTCAGAACTGACTTTTAGGATGCACTTGACCTCCCTGATCAAATTTCAAAGAAAGGGTACATGAATATTTCAGTAAAAAGGAAAAACTAAAACTGTATGTCAACTTTAAAAAAACATTTAGAACTGTCACCTTGAATTTTCCTTGCTTTTCTTAAGAATTTTTAAAATTTGAGTTTTGAAATTTTCCACTAAATCAAGCACTAAAAAGAATTGCCTAATACTTAAATTTTTCCTTTATTTTTCCAAATCATTATTTTTTTGTCCCTGGTTTAAAATCTTTATTTTCCTAAACTAGAAATCCTAAATTCTAGAAAAACATTTTTAGTTTCAATAAAACTTATACCTGGCCGAAACAGAAAGCAGGATCTTTTTACCTGGATATTTGGAATATAATCGACATCTAGATGCAAATACAAATTATCAGAAAACCAAGGATATAAATCATTTTAATTTTCTTAAGGTCAGTGTCAGTAGGTACTTCTACATATGTCCAGGATCTTTGTATGCAATATGCTTTCCAGGGCCTAGAGAATTAAAGGGTCCACTAGAGTTGCAGCTGGGCTTCCCTGGTAGCTCAGATGGTAAAGAATCTGCCTGCAATGCAGGAGACACCGGTTTGATTCCTGGGTTGGGAAGAGCCCCTGGAGAAAGGGAATGGCAACCCACTCCAGTATTCTTGCCTAGAGAATCCCCATGGACAGAGGAGCCTGGAGGGCTACAGTTAGTCCTTGGGGTCACAAAGAGTTGGACACGACTGAGCAACTCAGCACAGCAGAGAACAGAGTTGCAGCTACTTCCTTGAGAAAAGAAAATCAAATCTAAATGTTAAGTCATATTTAAATATAGTTATTTAATGCTATATACTATCTTTGTGAAATTTGTAAATCTAGATTCAAAAAGAACATATTTTAACAATGTATTTTCAAGAATGTTTCCTATTGTAAATAAAGTCCAATCTGTAATTACTTGAGAAACAAAAAATTTCCAAGCTTCTACAAATTTGTATCTCTTAGCTTTAAAACAGAACATCATGGAGAGGACCCAATTTATTTAGTTAATCAACAAATATTTATTGTGCACCAACCAAGTACAAAGGTTTTCCAGGTGCTGATGATACAGCAGGGAACAAAATAGTCAAGGCCCTGTCCTCGTGGAGCTTACATTTTAATGAAGGGAGACACAAAGAATAGCAGGAAAACATCCATTGTGCCAGAAATGTAAACGATACTGAGAAAAGCAAAGCAAAGAAGGACAGCAGGGACTCCAGGGGCAGGGGTTCTACTTTAAATGCAGTGGCCAAGGAAGGTCTCTCTAGAGAACAAATAAGGAGAGATCTCAAGGAGAGGGAATAAACTACAGGATTTCTGGGGGGAAAGCATTCAGGCAAAGAAAGCAGTAAGTACACGGGCCCTGAGGCAGGAGCTCCCTAAGTACCTACCTTAAAGAAGAGCGGAGAAGCCACTGCGTAGAGGGATTGCGTGTGAACTCACAGGAGTGATCCCCTAGACCAGACAGAGGGATACTGAGGATGCTGGAGAGGGGACAGCTGCTACAGCAAGGGAAGGCAACAAAAGAAGACACAGAGAGACGGGTATGTACGCAAGGGAGTGATGATGACGACGCGTGGAGTCGATCCTAGCTAAGGAGATTGTATGAGATATGTGCCGGACTGCGAAAACACGGGTCCATCAATTGATGGCGGTCTTAATGAGGGAATGAATAGTTCTTGGAGCTGGGAAACTAGCAGGAGTTGGTAGCACACTAATGGAATTCTTAAACATCTAGACAGGGAGAAAGAATTATTTGTGATTAAAACCTCTCTAGAAAACTACCATGGTTTCCCTGGAGGCTTAGACGATAAAGAATCCACCTGCAATACGGGAGACCTGGGTCTGATCCCTGGGCTGGGAAGACCCCTTGGAGAGGTGAACAGCCAACCCACTCTAGTATTCTTGCCTGGAGAATCCCCATGGACAGAGGACCTGGCAGGCTACAGTCCATGGGGTCAGAAAGAGTTGGACACCCCCGAGCGACTAAGCACAGCGCGGTATCAGGGAACAACCATGGGAGTGGGGGTTGCTGTAGAGATAAAAGATCAAGAAGTCAGAGGCTGGGGTAGTAGACAGATCATCTACACGGACACTGAAATAACAAAGAATTAGGATACAGTGTTGGGGAGTGTGAAAGTACATTTAAAATCTTCAAAGAAGTGTGGAGGGATGGGGGAGGGAGGATGAGAAGTGAACTGTAGGATGACAGCAAAAAAAAGATAAGTAGATAGCATGGTTTAATGATCCAAACTACAAAGCTAGAAACTGTAGGGAGGAGGAAAGATGATCTCTGGACATGACAGTGAAGAGCCACAGGGACATCTATTCTATCTCTAGGCTCAGTAGTAAAAGGGTTTAGGAGAGAAAGCATAACTACTTAAGAGAGCCAAGGAACCACTGGGGCCAGGGTACAGCCAAGTTTCTGTTAAGAGTTGGAAGGCAAAGGCAACGTTCTAGAAGCTAGGGTTCTGACAGACTTTAAAATGATAGTAAGTTTTAATAGAATGTAGAAGTTTTAAGAGTTGGGAAGGATAGAGAGGGAGGTGGGAGTGGGGATCGGGATGGGGAATACATGTAACTCCATGGCTGATTCATGTCAATGCATGACAAAAACCCACTGAAATGTTGTGAAGTAATTAGCCTCCAACTAATAAAAATAAATGAAAAAAAAAAAAAGAGTTGGGAAGGATAGGAAAAGTGTCAGATTCAGGGATGCAAAGAGCTATATGGAGATGAGAGTCTGGATAGTGAGAAAAGACCACATGATCTTGGACTTTTCAGTATAACAGCTAACACAGGAATAAAGCACATAACCAGAAAAATAATATGAAATAAAAATGGGAGAAGACACAATATAGTATGAGCTAGAAGTTACAGGTCAAAAGTCAGTGGCTTACACCTGTTTTCTATAAACTGTTCAAAGAAATGAAACAGAAAAGGTACAAAATTACTGCCTATGATATCTAGCTAGAATACAAAGTAGGCAGACAAAACGATGAAATTAAAAAGAGAATATAAAATAGCAAACTAACATTAATTTGTTCTATCAAATCAGTACTCTGGCCTTAATGATGATTTTTTAAAACAGCTACCACTAGATGCATCATGTGATGAATTACCTAAGTATTTTTTCCTCAAAAAGCAAATCAAACATTACTGAATATAGTAGAAGAAGGCTTAAAGAAAAAAGAGAAAGCAATTCATACATAAAATAATAAATAAAGACTTGGGTCAAGTTAAATAAATTGTATTAAAGTAAAAACAAAGCCTCCTTTATCTAATGCTTTGCTTTTGAATAAATATGGAAAATATTAATTAAACTAGGCCACTTAAAATTATGCCCATGTTGGCCCATTAGAAAAAACCAACCAAAAAAAGGAAGAAATTCACCAAACATTAAAAGGATGATCAGAACCAACACAATATAAAAGTTATGAAACAGCACTCTAAAATACAAACTTTTCATAATTTATTAGACTGCAATATACAGTAGCATGAGACAGTGTGTTCCTAAAATTTATACTAAGTGTGCTTGATCCCTAATCAGAAATCTGCCAAATTTTAGGCAAGAAAATTGATGCCATAATTGTGTTTAAATAGTTCACTTTGTGTACTGAAAAAAGTCTTTACAGAAAGAGGAAAAGAAGAGAAAAATCAAAACGGTAAAATAAAAAAGCCAAAAGACGATCAACACCAAATAAAGAAAATCAAACAATTCCTTTCTCTTTGGACACTGTAAAGAAGTGTATTTTCAAGAGCAAATTAAAAATCATAAGAGATTTGCTTATACATACTTTTGTGTGTTCATATGGAATGTCCACAGAAGGATGATAGCATACTATTGTCCTGGCATCAGATGTCAGAGCAAGCTCTACTTTGCTTAAAAAAAAAAAGAAGAACAAATGTTTCAGAGACAGATTTATACTGTATTCAAGGCAAAATGAGTATTAGAGCTCAAATCTGTTAATCACCAATCCCTGAAGAATAAATGCTGTGTCACTGGACTGGCAAAGGAAGTACCCATATCATAGGAAACAACTCAGATCATCCCACAAAACATGTCAATTTAACTACCACAACAAACCCATTACCCATGATTTTATCTAGATTATCCTTCAAATTACTTGTTTTGTTAGTTCTCCAAATCTTTGGAAGAGATCTTCATGTTCACTCATCACTATTAATAGAACTTCCTCCCTTATCTAAAAGCTACCTTCAAAAAGCTCTAAGATTACTTGAATTATTAAAGCTGAAGATCAGCAAAATACATAATCTTCCAGGTAAAGGATCAATCACCTGAATTTCTAATCATAAAGACTGTAGCTGAACACTTTTTCTAATTCAGCATTTCTCCAAGTGCCCTTGGCATAATGCAAAACATGTAAGATTCAATCTTTTCAGGTTCAAAAAGTGCCACCTATTATCTAGTCTTATTTCATCATTATCCTAATACTCACTAAGTTTACAATTAAAACTGGTATCAAGAGGTAAGAAAATATATTTTTACTAAAATTCACAATAAAACAACTTCGTGGGGCTTTCCTGCTTCTTCAGTGATGAAAAAAAATCTGCCTGCCAATACAGGTGACAGGGGTTTGATCCTTGGTCCGGGAAGATCCCACACACGAAGCAACTACACCCGTTGTGCCAAAACTACTGAAGCCCACAGCTCTAGAGCCCCGTAGCTCCAACTATCAAGGCCCCCAGGCCTGGAGCCCGGGCGCCACAAGAGAAGCCAACAAGAGGAGGAGCTGGCAGGCAGCAGTGAAGAGCAGCCCCGCTCACTGCAAGCAGAGAATGCCCGGGCAAGTCAACAAAGACCCAGCATAGCCAAAAGTAAGTAATTAAATAAAAAAAAATTTTTTAAGTAACTTAAGAAAAAAACATTGTAGCTTCTGCACATAGGACTCTGCTATAAAGGACAACGTTCCATTCATATGCTATTCCTAGTTCTTAGCATACTGACTAGAACTGAGTAAGTACCAAATAGTTTGTGGTTGAATTAAATATTTGTAATTTAGGATTATTCAATATCAACAAAAGATAAGATAAATAGTTGTTTAAGCTAATAGATATGAACCCTAAGAGAAAATCATAAAAGTAATTAACTTCTCAAAAATACTAAAGAATGATTCAGGAAGAAAAGACAGCATTTCTATCAGCACATCTGTCTTAGAACAAATGAAGTATTCACTGAAACACAATGATAAATGATTTTTATTTAAAACATTTATAAGTCCAGACACTGGGTAAATAAGAACACTGAAATATTTTTTAAAAACAAAATTAAAGAAAGAATAATCAGAAAAGAAAGCAGAAAATACCAAAACAAGAAACAAAACAATCATTTCAGATAGAGCTAAGAGACTTTTTTTTCAATTGGATTTCAATACATACCAATTATAGTCATCTGGAAGAGAAGAATACGTAGATTTGTGACCAACACAATATAAGGCTCCGTCTGCAAAAACCCCAAACAGTAAAATGGATTTAGTTCATTTGAGCATATGTTCTCACACAAATGTAAAGTTAGTTTTACTCATTCAACCAATATTTACTATGTTCACCATGAACAGGGCTGTACTTGAGCTAAGCATTCAGCAAATTGAGATCCTGTCCTCAAAAAGGGTTCAAATCAGGTGAGAGAGGGACACGTAAGCAAACAACTCCAATACAAAGATGAGCCCTGTCAGCACAGAAGACCTGGGAGGAGAAGGGGCGCAGCGGCAAGTTACAAAACAGGAGTACAGGTTCAGGAACACTTTTCCAGTGGAGACGACCTTTAAGGTGTTCTGAAGGATGAAGCAGTAACTTGGAGTTATTAGTGGATGAGTACAATGTTCCTTTGAGAGGGAGTAAAAAGTGCCAACGATCAAAGGAAAGAACATAAAACTTTAGTGTTGGGAATTCACTGGCGGTCCAGTGTTTAGGACTCGGTGCATTCACTGCCGGGGTCTGGGTTTGATCCCTAGTAGGGGAATTAAGTATCCTACAAGCCAGGGAGTACAGTCAAACAAATAAATAAAAACTTCAGTGCAACTGGAGTGCACAGTCCATAGAAGGGGAGTGTTTAAGTGACGAAATACAAAATAAACTCCTCAAAATCAACTTTTCTTAATCACAATGCTGACATTTCCTTTTTTAAGAATACCTGCAAATTCAAAAACCATATTTTTTTAACGGTTTGTAAAAGGTTTCTCTACATTCAGAGAAATGATAATTCTTTTAAATATAAAGGAAAAATATAGTTCAGTATGGTTAAAAAAAAACTGAATAAATCTTCTGTAGAGAAAGATCAACTTCTCTCAACTAGTCTCTTGCTCCTCAGTATGGAATGCTATCCCAAGTTGGTTCAAATACCACTCATCTTTCAAAAGCCAAATGCTACTCTTCCATGAAATTCTTTTTCCCTTCTCCCTGCCCTACAGCCCCCATCACAGAAGAGCTATTTTGCATGCTTCACAACCAACACTCCATACAATACTGATATACCATCTTTGTGGTCTTTTTTCTTTTTTTCAATGAACCGTTATTTACATGTATCAGAGACGTCTAAACAAAGATGTATTTTCCATCTTTGTATACCTCTCCTTTTCCCAAGGATTGTATATACTTAAGAGTTTTAAATATAAATCCTTACTCCAATACATTAAAAAGTACCTTAACAAAACTCACTAGATCATAAAAGATTCTTCAGCAAAATGTTGACCCCACAATTCCATTGATGTAAAGATAACAAAAATACAAAGAATTAGAACTATAACCTCATCTTTCAAAAGATTTATTAATTTTCATTATCCGTGCTAATACAGAGGTGTATTCATCAAGACAATTCAGAGGGTAATGTAAAAATCATTTACACATATTTTATTTTCTTGTTTGACACTGTTGGGGATCTTCTTTTCTTAACTATGCATGGATTAGTATTAAAAGTCATTTGTACTCTCTGAATACAAACCAGCTAAGTGATCTACATGCTTGCTGAAAGAAACAGGGTTGGGTGGCAGAGGAAGGACAGAGAGAGTTTACCATTTTTAGGTAGGCAAGAGGAAAAACTCAAGACAACAAGATTTTCAGTTCAACAGAAACTGCAAAATTTCTACTCTGCACTTACACAGACATTTGTTGTACCCTCATGACATACCACATTCTACCTTCTATTCCAGGTATTGTTTCCATAGTTGTCTATTTTAACTACGAGTCTAAATAAATTCTTAAATGAACACCCTGCTTATTAATGTGTCCCCTATCGTGCTTAATAAAGAAGAAGAGATTGCTAAACTGCCTCTGAAATGTTAATTTCTGTATAATTAATACTTAAAAAACTTATTTGACATTTTAGCAAGAGAAAAATTCTAGACATGGTTAAGTATCAGAAGTTCTAAAGGAATAATTAGGACTGACGCCAAAGTTAACATCAATCAATCCAAAGCAACTCAATATGCCAAAAAGAATTTCCCATGAGTCAGTTCTCCACAACTCAAGGACTTTTCCTGTTTTATGTATATATTTATACACACACAGAGAGTTTAATTGCAATATGATATGATCTATAAAAGCTGAGAGTCCCATTCATTTTCAAATGCTGTATTATTTTAAATTACTACAACAAAGATGGTCTAGCAGAAAGTATATTGAGAAGACACAGTTTTGATCTTAGCTCTAATTTATCAGATATGCAACTTGGTTGAGTTTCTGATGGCCAGAGAACTCATGTTCCTTCATCTTTAGAAAGAGAATACCACCACATGACAAGTAAATTATTGTAAAAATCAAAGTTGTAAACATCAAAAGACTTAAGATGCTTAAAAGTTGTAAAATTTCTACACTGACTATATATTTCAGAAGGTTTTAAATGTTCTTTTTGGAGTATAGGAAGGCCTTTTTATTTGTGCTCATTGAATTTTCCAGTAACTGTTTGCTTTGCCTCTAATCTTTCAACATCCTTCCCTTTTGTATAAAATATCAATAGCAACAGTAATAATATTTTACCTTCACTAGTAATAATACAAATTGTGTAGAATAGGGGGCTTACAGATGCAAGAGGTTAGGTAGTAAGAGATTATTAGGATGACTGAGTGATGATGGAGTAATATTCTGGGATAGCCCAACTGGTGAAGTCTACATAGACATTTTTAACTTTCCCAGGGGCAGATTAACTGGTTTTCAGATTAACCTGAGTGAGGACAAACTGCTGTTTCAGGACATGGACTAGGTAAAAACTGATAAGGCCTGATTTCCCATCAGCCTTGGGGCTGAGTTCTTATCAGGGCAAAAGAGAGACTAATTGCAGCAGCGCTCTCTCCCCAAGTCCTCAACAACAACAAAAAAATGCTCCTAGGTAATCAAGGGCTGACTGCAGTTTTGTTTTCACTGATTTTAGTGTTTACTTAATTATACTTTTACTCATATAGTTTTTACCCACTAGTCTTCAAATAACTCTTTTCCTCTTAACTCAATAGAAATGTTCAATTACAAATGGTAGTCAACAGGAAACATGGACAAAGAGATTAAGATTGGGCAGAGATGAGTAAAAAAGTTAGCTGACTAGCTAAACATGAAAAAGAAAACCTACTGTAGCATTCTAACCATGTCTGCTTTAGAAATGGGAGGATGCAGTTCACAAACAGGGGAAAGGGTAAGAGAAAAGAAGGCTGGTCGGGAAATAAGATTTTAATTGCCTGTTTATTTATATGGGTCAATGTTTTGACTATCAAACATGCATTACTAGGCTTTGAAGAAAATATTACACTATGTTTCTTCAGAAAAGGAAGAAATTACATTTTTTTAAAAAATTACATAGAAAAAATACAAAGAGAGTACACCAAAATATTAACAATAGTCATCTTGTAAGATGGAATTGCACAATTGGCCCTTATTTGCTAATTCTAAGAACTGCCGAAAAAGTGGAATGTGAGGACTTCCACGGTGGCTCAGTGATAAAGAATGTGCCTGCCAATACAGGAGACATGGGTTCAATCCCTAGTCGGGGAAGATCCCACCTGCCAGGGAGCAACTAAACCCTAGCGCCACAACTACTGAGCCGGTGTTCTAGAGCCCAGGAGTCTCAACTGCTGAAGCCCGAGTGCCCTAGAGCCCCTGCTCCACAACAAGAAAAGCTGCCTCAATAAGAAGCCCCAGCACCGGACAAAGAGTAGCACCCGGTCCCTGCAACTAGAGAAAAAGCCTGAGCAGCAACAAAGACCCAGCACAGCCAAATAAATAAGTAAATACTTTTTTAAAAAAAGCAGTATGTGAAAACGTAAGTAATTCAAACCGGAATAAGTTTTATTAGTCCTTCATTTGGCCTCAGTTAAATCCCACTTGTGGTCTACAAAGATAACTTACTTGGTCCACATCTTTTACTCTTCATTTATAAATGCCTATATACATGTACGGGTCAATCATCTTTCAAATGCACAAATTAGATCATAAAATAGATACTGTCTGACATACACCCCTTCCTATATAAGGATCTTTCCACATCATGCAATATGTGGCGTACATATGACTCCTATACAATAGCAAGCATATACAACAACTAAACACTGTAAATTTTCTTCAGTGAACACATATTATGATATTATAATACTTGAAAAAGTTTAACATCTCTTAAACATTAAAAAAAAACAACACCCAACTTACTTTGAATTGGAAATAAATGTTTCAAGATAGTTTTGCTTGATATTGCCCATTTTACTGCTGCCAATGCCATGGTGAATCAAAATGCTTATCAGGTGGTATAAAGATGATCTGAAGAGAAAGTGCTTTTAAAATCGGCTTCTAGATACAACAATCTTCACCCCTGCATGAGAGATAAAGGAAAATCAGTGCTGCCTATGATAAACTGAAGCGACACAACACACTGAACACCACAAAACAGGATCGCTACCTAAAACTATAGACACTAACACAAAACTTTTTAAACAACTTTCTGTTTCCAGGCAATACAGGACAAAGAGCAGCATCATCAGAAATCCCATAACTATGTGCATTACTACTCCTCTTAAATGCAAACTTCTCAACACCTGGTATAGTTATTTCCATTCAATGAGTGCACAGCCAATGTGTAACTATTAGAAACAGTCAATCACACATGCTACGCAGAGCATTCTCCTTTCATAAAGCTAATGTGTCTGTGTACAACTTCCCAGGTACCATATACAAGATCTTAATACATCTCTTAAAATAGTGTTCTGTTTCTGATTGAATGAAATATTAAACAAGAAGACCCAACCATAGCTTATTAAATATTGACCTAGAGAAACACACATAAACATCCTATCCCAAAGCCCCAAATAAAATTTTGCCCTCTTATATATGTATGAGATTTCTACCTTTTCAAGGTGCTTTCACTATCATTCATTTTACTCTCATATTAATCATGAGAAGTATCTTTATTTTGACTCATGAAGAAATTAAAGTACAAAATTTAAATAACTTGCTTCCAAGAGCCTCAGAGTCAATCATTAACAAACTGGGAAAGTTTGGGCAAGTCATCAAGCAATCCTCTCAGTTCCTTCCACGGTAAAATGGGGGAAAACAACTCCAGGCTGCTGTGAATAAATGACATACATCACTCGTTCCCAGCTGACTATTCGATTCCCCACACCCCCATCCCCGCACAGTGGTAAAATCGTATTTTATCAGTCTTAGTTGCTAAACTATGCAGCTGACTCCTTGCACTGTCAGTACATTAGCACTGATATCCCTGAGTTCCTTTCTATAGTGTACAACCCATTTTCCTATACATTATATGCTCTTTCAGAAGTGTAGAAGTAGGCATCTCCACTTGAAAAATTAAGAACTAGGCTCAGACAAGTCAAATAGTTTACCGATGCTTAATAGGTGGTACGGATGAAACGCAAACCCGTATCTTCTGACTACGAACTGAGAAACAGAACTTTTAAAACGACATTCTGTCTGAAACTCAGGGATCAGATTATTCACCTCAAAAAGAGAATTCAGAGGGTATATCCCTTGGCCTGGAATTCAACCCTGAGCAGGGAGCCTGAGAGGGACGGAGGTTTGAGGAACAGGCTACCAGAACTAGCACCTTTCACCTGGAGCGTAGCTCCCACAGGAAGCCTAAGTCTGGTAACCCCAGAGGCTTTATCCTGCCGTAGGATAGGAAGTAGGAGACCTCAACACTTGCCAATAAGCCTTCTGGGTCCACCGAGCTTCTAGGGACTCCTAGACGGGAAAAAGAGAGGGCATCGGTTACCTGCACTGCAGCTCACCGCAAACCCGCCATCTTGCCTCAGTCCTGGCTCTAGGCAGCACAGCTCCACGCGCCTTCCTGGCCCGCGGGGCACTCTGGGAAATGTAGTCTCCGCCGGAAGTATCCGAAGGTGCCAGGGTAGGGGTTTTGCGGCGGCGGGGGCGGCGGAGCAGGGATTCATCCAACCTGCTCCCGGGTTTAGTTGCAGCAGTTCGCCAGCAACTTTACTAGCACCATTTCCAAAAACAAATCCACTGCTCCCCACGCATATCCTTAAGAAAGTAACAAACAGTATTTTTTTTAAGTTTATACTAATAATCGGAGCAACTTGAGATCCATCCTCGGATAAGTTAGGTTTCCTACGGAAAGAGACATTTCAGAGAAGCATTGAAGGAGTAGTGGCGTTGGATTTAATGTTTGAAACGGGGAAGCGGGGCAACCCTTCAAACTAAAAGCCCAGCACTGTGTTTTGAGAACGGTGCTGGTTATTTATTATGGGAGGAAAAGACATGTGCAGAATCCTGAGCCTTGTCTTGTATCTTAGAGGGAAGAATAGGCCACGCCATAAAGTCTTTCCGGACTATGCTGTAGGGGAAGACAGCGAGGAGACACAAATTGGAAGGAACTGTCAATGGACTCGTCAAACATTCACTGTGCAGAGCTGAAGAGAGACGGATCAAAGACGATTCCAAGGACACGTCTGGTTGGCTGTGAGCCGAGTGGGAACCGCTGACCAACAGGGAGGCTCAGTGGGCCGAAGAAAGGCTCACAAAGCTGAGACCAGAAAAGAAACCAGCCGTACGCCTGTGCACGTAAGGAGTGAGTGTAGAAAAAGAAAAGTACCCAGAACCTAGCCAGGAAATCCCAACATTTAGCGGTCCGGTGGAGGAGGAGGGCCAGCAAGGGCCTTTCAGAAGCAGCAGGAGAGAAGCAGTATGAAAACCAAGGGGCGCAATCAGAGAGAGTGTCAGGAAGAGTTTGATAAATGTAGAGTTCAGTGTCAGCAGTTTTTAAACTGTAATTTCCAACATGCTGACGTTTGATGTATAATCTGTCACTTTTTGTCTCTTTGTGTATCTGTGCTCTGATAGTAGCTAACAGTTATTAGACACATTATGTTTTTAAAGTCCTGTGGCCAGTGATGGAGCTGAGATATGAACCTGCCAGCCTGATTCTTCAGCCTCCCTCTCTTTCACACAAACACATTATGTTTAGGTTTTCTTTTATTACTGTTAATATATTAATACATATATCAATAAACACATACATGCACAATAAACTATCTTTTCTAATATACCTTTATTGCACTTAACTGTGTATCATGAACATCTTTCCTACAAACACCTTAAATATTGTCAGTTTCAAACCGCAAGTCTCCTGGAGATCATCAGGACTTATTTAAATGATCAAAGATTCTCACAGTATAAAGTTTTTTCATTATTAGGTGCTTTTATGCAACTCCTGCTGCTGCTGCTGCTAAGTCACTTCAGTTGTGTCCGACTCTGTGCAACCCCATAGACGGCAGCCCACCAGGCTCCCCCGTCCCTGGGATTCTCCAGGCAAGAACACTGGAGTGGGTTGCCATTTCCTTCTCCAATGCATGAAAGTGAAAAGTGAAAGTGAAGTCGCTCAGTTATGTCAGACTCTTAGCGACCCCATGGACTGCAGCCCACCAGGCTCCTCTGTCCATGGGATTTTCCAGGCAAGAGTACTGGAGTGGGGTGCAATTGCCTTCTCCGTTATGCAACTCCTAAATTTATTAAATTTATTCTACTGCACTCATTCATTCTACAAATATTTATTGAGCACTTTTTAGATGTACCAAACACCTGAGTAACAGTCTATGTCTTTAGAGATTACACATCAAGTGGGGAACCACAGATAGTATATGCATAATTGTATAAGTAATTTATTTTATTATCCTTGTCTTGAGTGCCTCAGAGGGAAAAAATGCCGTGAAACATATAACTATCAGTTATAAGCATATTGGTGTCTGACTAGTCTATTAGGGTTAGAAAAGGTTCCCCTGTGGATATAAATGTAAGCAGAAATGTGAAGGAAGGGTAGAAGTCGTGAAGATTAAGAATACAAGAGAATAAGGGCCTTGAGTAAGGGCCATAAGGTAGGGAGCAGTACACGATCCTTTCAAGAAACAAAAATAAGGTCAATGTGACTAGAATACAGAGTGTTAGCAAAAGTGATGAAGCTGGTGACAAAGGTAGATCTATTTTATACTTTTAAGAAATATTTCACTCTTGACAGGTAATATATAAAAAGAACTTTCTGAGAGAACACATATATTTGAACTTAACCAAAAAATAAGACCCTGTTTTTCTAGTACACATTGAGTATTCTCCTTAAGAAGTGTTTCCTTGCCTTGTTAAGATAAATTACATATGTTTAATAGCATTGATAAATGATCCCACCAGAAACCATAAGAAATTTACACCAGAAACTGTTATTCCCCAATAGCTCTGTTTCCCTTTCCTCCATATTAATAGAACCCCTAATCTTTGACTGAGTATACATCTACTCTGAATTTAAAAATCTACACTTCCCAACCTCCCTTTCAAACATAGATGAGGTCATGTGACTTAACTGCTGGCCAATGAGATATATGGACCCAACAGAAGCAGAAGATATTAAGAAGAGGTGGCAAGAATACACAGAAGAACTATACAAAAAAGATCTTCATGACCTAGATAACCATGATGGTGTGATCACTCACCTACAGCCAGACATCCTGGAGTGCACAGTCAAGTGGGTCTTAGGAAGCATCACTGTGTATGAACAAGGCTAGTGAAGGTTATGGAATTCCAGCTGAGCTATTTCAAATCCTAAAAGTTGATGCTGTTCAAGTGCTGCACTCAATATGCCAGAAAATTTGGAAAATTTGGCAGTGGCCACAGGACTGGAGAATGTCAGTTTTCACTCCAATCCCAAAGAAAGGCAATGCCTAAGAATGTTCAAACTACCATACAATTGCACTCATTTCAAATGCTGGCAAGGTAATGTTCAAAATCCTTCATGCTAGTTTTCAACAGTACATGAACTGAGAACTTCCAGATGTACAAGCTGGATTTAGAAAAGGCAGAGAAACCAGACGTCAAATTTCCAAAATCCATTGGATCATTGAAAAGCAAGAGAATTCCAGAAAAACATCTACTTCTACTTCACTGGATCACAACAAACTGTGGAAAATTCTTCAAGAGATGAGAATACCAGACCTCCTGAGAAATCTGTACACAGGTCAAGAAGCAACAGTTAGAACTGGACATGGAACAACAGACTGGTTACAAATTGGGAAAGAGTATGTCAAGGCTGTGTATTGTCACCCTGCTTATTTAATTTATATGCAGAATACATCATGAGAAATGTCTGGCTGGATGAAGCACAAGCTGGAATCAAGATTGCTGGGAGAAATTTCAGTAACCTCAGATATGTAGAAGATGCCACCCTTATGGCAGAAAGTGAAGAAGAACTAAAGAGCCTCT